TAGTTATTTTTGAAAAAAAACATGGACTATAGTCTACATGCTTAAATATCCAAAATAGCTATTCCAAGTGATAAAAACCCACTACTCCTTACATTATTGAACTCAGGTGACTCGTGCCAGTTGGAGTGGCAGCCCAGTATGTTAATGCTAGGAGCTCTGAGTATATCAATGAAGTTATCAGGAACTGTCGGTACTATACTGTGACACCACTCAAAGGGAGATATGTAACTCAACAAACACAATAATAATAAAGTTATTAAAAAGAGGGGAAATCCAATTTTAATCAGAATGAGCATAAACTTTATACAGAACTTAAGAACATGTATACATGTATGTATTGAGGGAAATTGTATAAAAAGAGACTTTTTCATTTTTGGAAAATATTGGTTTATGATCATACAGGGACTTTAGATTGATTTTTGAGTAAATAATGGCTCCAAAACCACCCAAAATTTTTGTTAAATTTTTAAACACAAATATTGATATATACTTTTGCATAAAACGTGTAAAGCAATCCTGACAAATATTTTTAAAGTAACTAGAATTTTATTAAACAACTAATTTTTGATAAAATACCACAGACTCTAGCTTATGGCCTCTTCCAAAAATTGGCTCTAAAGTCACCCCAAATTTTTTGATACATTTTGATGCCCTTATGCTATGTAAAAAGTTTGAGATGATTCCATCAAATATTTTTACCTTGCCACTGGTTGAATATTGAGTGCTTGAGTTTACCAACTGACTCAGGACAGACCCGTCCCAATAGCTCAATAGTCATAGACCAGACACCCAGTAAGACACACACTGCCAGGGAATGACTGGCCTCACAAGATACCACATCCTTTGATAGAACTAAGAGGAGGAGGACAGGAAGAGTACATGAACACGTACATACACTGTACATGATAAATGCAAAAAAAATTTGATATACATGAACATATATATGTACATGTATAAGCACATGTACATGTACATTCTTAGTGCAACTGAGATAAAAAAAACAATAACAATAATAATAAGATGATCCCATTATCTGGACTCTTGAAAATAATGTCCATGTACATGTACTTTTTGATTTACATGTACAGTGTACAGTACAGTATGTATAGCAATGCATCTATAGATAAGGAACTCTCCCATTTGAGAGAGACTGTGTTGTACATGTACAGTATGTACATGTAGTTATTGTGTATTAAATCTCATCATTAAGTTTCTTGTTATTTTCTGAATTTGATGTCCCCATTCTGTCCCTCTCATTCATTTCCATTGACCTATTAAGTCCAATCTGTACTGGGATTGGTGCTAACATCAAGTAGTGAATCTGAGGGTGCGGGACACTGGTCTGTGGTCACACCTTCAGTATCTTCTGAATACCTCTACCTACAATGTGTATATTTGTGTGTAAGATGAAGATCTGAAGGGAGAGAGAGAAAGAGAGAGAGAGGAGGAGGGAAAACTGAAACTAAATGTACATATACTAACCTCCTCTGAGTGGCATAATGATTTTTGGTGATAAAAAACCAGGTAGAGTTACTTTCCAGTAGAACAATGAATACATAACTTCTTCTATTTCGCTCTTCCTCCCTCATTCCTTCTTTATTCCTCCTCTCTCTCCCTCTCATTCACTTCCCCCTCTCTCCCTTCTCCCCTTCCCCTCCCTCTCTCTCCCTTACTAATGAGAGGAGTCCTTCAGGTAGACAAGTTATAAGGAACAGTTCATTGGCCACGTCTTCAATGGTCTCCCAAAATGAGTCCTCCCTCTCCTCCTCAGATAACAGTCTATACATACTACAATAAGAACCACATTATCATTATAGATAATACATGTAGTTTATAAAATCTTATACATGTACAGTACATGCAGTAATTGTACATGTACATGTATTGTATAATGTAATGGGAAGCATTGGGAGGAGCTAATGGATTGGCCAAAAATTAAAATTGATAGTTGTTATACTGACATTCTGGAGCCATGCATCATTGAGCAAGCACAGAATCATACAAAAGTGGTTTTTGTATAAATACATGTACTATAATCCCTTACCCAGATAGTGTTTCCTTCAAGAGTCTAAAGTAAGGCATCCTTGAGACCATTACAATGACCGTTGGGAGGTATATCAGTTTACTGTTAGTCGGAGTACCTACAATAAATGATAAATGAGACACATACATCAATAATACTGATAACAGAATACATTATGTATATACTCATGAGAGAACACTGAGAACATATAGGATACTTAAAAGAACATGGACACTTAAAAATTATTGATAGAAAGAGGGAGAGAAAGATACATTTAATACGTGAAGAAGAATTAAGAAATAATAACTAGTAAAAGATAATATGTAC